GGATCAATTCCTTGATCATTATGTAGTGTCCTTCTTTGTGTCTTGTAATAGTCTTTACTTTAAAGTCTATTTTGTCTTATATGCGAATTACTATTCCAGCTTTCTTTTGATTTCCATTTGCATAGAGTATCTTTTTCCATCCCCTCACTTTCAGTCTGTAGGTGTCCGTAGGTATGAAGTGGGTCTCTTGTAGAGAGCATATATATTGATCTTGTTTTTGTATCCATTCAGCCAGTCTGGGAACACAGAAATTGATCCCATTAGCTAGATGCTCATCCAGTCATCCAGTGGATGGTCCTCATAGTTTTTGATATGAGGAGGTAGCAGAAGAAGAAGAATCTTCATTCTTACTCAGTGAGAGCTACGTAGAACAACAACCAACCTAAAACCACAATCCTATTTTTCTTTTAGTGTCCCAGTTCATGCGTCCCATTACAAACTTAATTCAAGGTTATAGGTTAGTGGGTGGAGTGCAGATTTTGGAGGCAGATTACATGGCTTTGGTTCCCAGCTGTACCCATCCTTAGCTGTGTGACCCAGGACAACTTACTGAGTCTCAGCTTCCTCATTTGTAAAATACAATTAAGAGCTGTAAGTTGAATTAAGCAGTTGTGAGACTCAAATGAGTCTGTATCTGTAAAATGCTTTAAACAGTGCCTGTAAGGGGTATTTAAATATTAGACGTTATGAGAACAAATTATGTGAAGATGCTAGGCACTGTGGTGTACATAAAGGTTTTCCCTGCCTTGAGGTGTATTTATAACTTTGAAAAATAAGTATTTTTCATTTTGAAAAATAAGTATTTTTCATTTTGAAAAATAAGTATTCCCTCCATATCGTGATTTGACACCTGAATAAATGTCATTTGCCATTTGGAAATGAGTATTTAGAATATAGTAATAAGTGAACATATGTATTTTACAGAAAAGAGTTAAATATACTGTTATTTGGTTAGAAGCTATCTTCAGGGGGCAGAAATGGGGTATTAACGGGGGATAGGGGACACAGTCTGAACTACGTTTTGGTAAAGTTTGCGTTCTATCCAGTTATCAGCAAAATAATTTAACACAGAAGTGAGTGATTCAAAATCAATATTATTGGTCCTTGTCTCAGGTAATGTAGTATTCCTGCCCACTTTATTTTGCAGGCATTTTTTTCTCTGTAATTCTGGTCTGCCTTGCAGTCTAGTGCTATAGTTGTCTCCCCAAGAACACCCTGCATAGAATTTAAGTAATTGTGGTGTTGACCCCTTTCTAATGGTCTTTAGAAAGTCTCAATATTCTCCCTGTAGAATAGGAATGCAGATAACTGCTCCTTTCAAAGACTTGTTGCAGAGATCAATTACCTACTGCTTTTGCAAATGTCTTTGAAGATTAAGTGTTTTCCCAAATTAAATAGTGTTATTAGGCATCCTAGAAATACTCCCCTAAAAAATTGACTCACAATGACCGATAATAAAATACATGAGCCTCAAATACACACACACTTTACCATTCCCATCTCTGGACACAACTGTCTCCAAGATACAATCCTTTGATTTATGGATATGACCTGAAAAAACAGGGGAAAATGCCACTTGAAAACTTATTTAAATTTAATCAGCATTATAGTCATTAAGTATAAAGCATTGGGCTCTGATGTTTAGAAGAAAATGGAGAATAATACTGTAATCTGATCTTCAAGAAGTTTAAAACCTAATTTGTGAGATTAGATATCAGAAATGTATATGTCCACAACGGAAATGTTAAATCAGTGATATTCAACATTTTTCTTCCACAAATTACATCTTAAATGAATCTTAAGAGGAAGCCCAACGTGTAAAAGAGATATACTTATAGTGGTTCTGATTGGAACAGTAGAGCCTGAAACTCTGATTCCCACCTGCCAATGTCCTCCATTTGAAAAACTTCCAAACAACACACTTTGAAAACCACGATTTCATTAACCATTCCAGACACTACAGATGAAATGCTGTGATTCTGTAGAAGATTTCAGCAAACACTGTTGATTGCCTTCCCAAAATCCATTCTCCCATCTTCCACCCTTCTTACAGGGCCTAAGGTTCTGTTCCATCCTTTTCCAGGTAATCATGGCCTCAGGAGAGTCCTCTAGTCACAAAGGGGGATTCCTGATTGGCCCATGGATTCTCAGACTGTTTGTTTCCACACTCCTTTGTACCTACAAAGATTGAGGACCCCAAACATCTTTTGGATTATATATCTATCAAAATGTAACATATTAGGGCTTCCCTGGTGGCGCAGTGGTTGAGAGTCCTCCTGCCGATGCAGGGGACACGGGTTCGTGCCCTGGTCTGGGAAGATCCCACATGCCATGCCACGGAGTGGCTGGGCCCATGAGCCATGGCTGCTGAGCCTGCATGTCCGGAGCCTGTGCTCCGCAACGGGAGAGGCAAAAAAAGTAAAGGCCCCGGAAATAAAAAAAAAAAAAAAAAAAAGTAACATATTAGAACTTAAAACTGAGAAATGTTAAAAATATTCATTAAATATATAGTTAAATATTTATTAAAAATAAAAGATAAGGTCACTAATATTACATTAACAAAAATAACATATTTCATGAAAAATTGCTGCATTTTCCAAAGCAAAAGCAATTAGTTTAAAAAGTGGCATTCTTTTATATTTTCACAAACCTCTTTACTATCTGCCTTAATAGAGGATAGCTAGATTCTCCCATCTGTCTTGCATTCAATTTGTTGTATTATGTTATTTGGTTTGAAGAATATGAAAAAAATACCTGTATGTTTAGATTGTTGGAAAGGGAAGAGTGTTTTAATAGCCTTTTCATATAATTGTGGATATTCTTCTTTGATAGAAACAAAACTTAACAAGTGGTCATTTCTTAACAGTAGTTTTTGAAATTTTAAAAGATATTAGTGAAACATTTGGTCATGGTTAAATTTAAATTCTTTAATTTATATGCACTAATAATGAATCCTCTACTCATGCATAGTTTTATAGCAATATTCACTGGTCATTTAGAAAATATTGGTTCAATGAGTTATTCAGATCTTCCAAATTTTGATACATTTCATTTTACAATAGCAAAAATCACATTTATTGACATAATCATCAATCTCATCAGAAAACTCATTAAGTATTAGAAAGCTATACAGCTCATGGTAACAAAATAGTTTTCTCAAATTCCAATTTTTGTTTGGAAGATAATATTTTATCATTGGCAAAAAATAGTGTTATTGGTTTTCCTTGAAGTCACAGACTCACTTTGTTCTTTTTCAAAATAATATCTGCAAATGTCTGTCTGAAAAATTGCAATGTGTCCACCAGATTTCATTCAAGAAAAAATGGTGATTATGAAAATAGTGGCTGGTTCAGCTTGTAACTCAAACATTGCATAAGAGCTTTTCCTAAACATAAGCACCATACTTTGGTCCACAACAGAATTGTTTTAAGTATACTTCCAATTTTGTCACACAAAATAATAAGACATATAAACATGTCAAATTTTTGTATTGAGATATATTTGATATACAGAAATTTAATACATTAATTTTTCCTTAATTTGTCAAGGACATTCTTAAATGAAACAAGCTATTAACTTATTTGCTTAATTCAGTTTTTTATGAGTGTATGGAGGTGAAGAATACAGTGACTCCTAGTACAATTTGGTGTTCCTGCTTAATTGGTGCTAAGACACCAACTGTTTTACCCACCACTGCCTTTGCACTATCAGTGCAAATTTCACCAACAGAAAAAAGGTAAATAATGCCAATATTTTTATGACACTAGTTTTGATTTTGCCAATACCCCGAAAGAATTTTGGGGACAGCCAGTGACCCATAGACCACACGTTATGGACTGCTCGTCTAAGCTAATTGTATCTTAGTCACAGGGCAGTGATTGGTACAGGATTCAACTCTGGCCAGTGAAATATAAAGGATGTATGCTAGGAGTTTCCTCGAAAAGTTCTCCTTGCTCATAGAAAGACATTGGCAGAAGTAGCCCTCTTCTTCCTTTGAATTTTGTCACATCTGTATGTGACATCTTGAACTGCGGCAGCCACCTAACTGTGGGATAAACTAGGCTGTGAAGAGGTCATCACAGACAGAATGGCAGAGCTTACAATGCAGAAGAACCTTCATCCTTGATGGTGTGTGAAGCCACTGAAATTACTAATCACAGAGTCATTGCCTCTGAACTTCTTGTTTTGGAATTTAGTAAATTTCCTTTTTGGTTTTCTTATTATTTGTAATCAAAACCATCCCAACTGGTACTAAGATACATTTTCTTATTTTCAGTTTGTCTGGGGCCACATTATGAATGAAAGAGACTTAATCCACTAACTAGCAAAGGAAAAATATCAGGATTTATATAATTTTCCCTTAATATTATGCAAGAAAATAAATAAATGATAGTTACAACATTTTGAGGTTTAAAAATGGAGCTTATTTCAGCAGATGGTCCTCCTTACAGTACCCAGCTGGCTAGAGTTTCTGTAGAGGGCACTATGTTCTCTCTTCTGAACAAATTAAATATGTCACGAGAGCAAAATAAAGATTATAAACCTGTAAAATTATGTTTCACTGATCTAAGTCGGAGTTATTTAGGTGCTCCCTTCCTGAACATACTACTCTTTTTTATGAAGAAGTTAACTAATAAAGTAAGTGAAATCACTTCCTGTGGTACTTTTTTCTTTTGTCACATATTAAAATTGGAAGGGGACCAGTAGAAGTGTGAAAAAAAAACAAGTTTGTGAATGCTAAAATGTGTTTTAGGTGAAAATACCATTTGAGCAAAAATATTGTAAATCACAATGTCCAAACTGTCTGTCATATTCAGTTATTTATTTCAAATATTTATCTAAAATATCTGAGAAGTAAAACTATATCCCAAATTATAAAGCAAGCAAATGATGACATCTAGACTCACCATTTTAGTATTGATTCTATCCTTCAAGAAAAGAAGAGCAATCAGCAAACCATGCTACTGAATTGATGAACCCCCTTCCCATATGTTTTTCAGAAACCAGAATTACTACATGGAAATGAGACAGAAAATGCTATTAAGGTAATATTCAACTTTGTTATTAAAACATGGCTCATTAAATGTCATTCTTAATTACCTAAAGGTTTAATATCTGAATCATCCTTAACAAACTTTGTAGCTACAGGGTTCTATTTTTTTTTCCTTTTCTTTTATTGCCTATAAATATTTAAAAATATAATATATAGAATAGCTACTTTCCATGAGAATAATCACCAAATTATAGAATTACATTTGATGCTAAAAAATAACTTACATGAACTATATTTAAAATTAATTATATTAAACTAAATAAAATTAATTATATTAAAATTATAGTAATATATTAAATGTATTTAATATATATGCTAACTCTAAAGACTTCCAAGCTTAATGTGATATTTTCTACACCTTTTTTTCTTATGTAGAATTATACATTGGGGGGGACATTTTTTTTCATCTATAAAATGAGATAATTTGTTGCTCATTAGAACTGACTCCTGCTTAATAATCTTTTGTTTTTCACTTGTAAGACAGTTGAAAGCTAATTCCCATTTCAAGATTCAGCTCCTCCTACAAAAATCTAACAAACAACTGTGCATTGAGATACAATTAGGTAAACAAAGCATGAGGATGTTATCTACACAAGACATCCAATGACCAAAGCTACAGATATGTTTTTTTATATTATTCTTAATTCTTTCTAGTATTAATCAAGATACTTAATAATGTGTTCAGCTCCAAGCTCAGCTCTCAGTGTTCTGAAAAGGGAGAGGAGGAAACTAATATTTATACAGAATTTACCCTGTGCAAGGAACTCTACCTAGGCAATCTAATTTACTCCCCCAAACAACCCTATAAGGCCACCAAAATTTCTCTTAGAAATATTCTTTGATGCGGGCCATAGTAAAAGACACTGAAGAGGAAGGGTCAGGAAAGGGAGCTCAAGGCTTAAGAAGGCTCAGGAAAAACTGCTACAGCATCTAGATCATTAAAATTGTCCTGTTATCTTCTAGTTTATACTATAGATTTGTGTGTTTTATAAGATAAAAATAATATTCCTCTAATGCAAAAATAAATGTTAAAACAAAACAAAACTCCCTCTCCTCCTCCCTAAAAAATACCTCTCACATATATTTTGAGCACAGGGGACCTAAAAATGTCACTGATAACTGAAGAATAAGTTATTGTTCCTTGCGGCTAAGCAAGTGTTCAAAGACTTTTTAATTCTCTTTCTAATGAACAAAATACAGTCTCATGGAAAATCTCATGTGGCTTTTTGGTCTTGCATACAACAAGAAAATGAACCTAAGTATTAGTCAAGCAGTCTTTGCCTGAATTACTTTTGTCCTTAACTGTTTATTCAGCCTGTAAAGTAAATGGTCTGGAGTAAGGAAGGAAATCCCACTGGTATTGTGCCCTGGCTTCTGAAGGTTCTAATGCACTTGGGTACAAGCATTGCCCCTCATTTCTGGGAGACATTAACTCAGGGTCAGCAAAGCTCTACAATGAGCTGGCCACATTATTATAATTTGAAAACTCATTTCTTCTTACATCTAATTCCTGATATTTTGTTATGTCTATTTTAAAAATTTCTCACTTTTCCAAAAAATGTACAAAAGTAACTCCTGTCAAATTATATAAACTCTTGTCTCACCTGGAGCTTTTTTTTTTAACCTTTCCATCTTCCCCACTCCACACCTAAGGTGGTGCTCTAAATATTCCTGCCAATCACCAACCTAGTCTCTACAACTATCCTTCACAATATTGGCACAATTATTTTTCAGTGTACATACATATTTCTCTACAGGAAGATGTTTGGTTTTCTCAGTCTTGTAGTCAAACCAGCCAACATGGAGCTCCTCCTTTATTCCAGCCTTATCTGTTAATAAAGTCCCTCTACCTCCAGCTTCCATTGGAGGCTTACTCTCCACCCATTGTTTGTGGAGTAAACACTGTGTTCTCTCACTTCTAAGTACTTCATCCAGAAGACCCTGTTGGCATTCCTACCTGTCCTTCAAAGCCAATTTGAATTCCACCTCTGCCAGGAAGCTTCATCCTAGCTGTCCTGAGGGGGGCATAGACCTCTCTTTCCCATAATAATATGGCACTTTGTTTATCTTCTAATTTGGTATTTACTACAGTCTTCCTTGAAACTGAGTTGTTTATGAGTGTCTTCTCCCATGCTGAAGTACAAGAGCTCAGGGACCATGCATAACTTACCTGAACAAACACCCAAATGCTCAGCATAGGCCTTTGTATATGATATCCATGAACAAGTGTTTGTTGAACTGAGCTGAACTGAATTTGCAGTATTTTTAAATTTGAAGCAATCTTACATTCAACCACAAGAATAAGGAAACTAATTTGAAAAACTTTTGATTTGTTTTGCACTAATATTGGATAATGAATTCTCCAAATAACTTGTCAAAAGATAGGGGTCCAAATGAATTTGGGGACCTAACTCTTCCTCATCTCCACCGAGTTTCTATTCACACTCTAATGAAAGTAGGTAGAATTTTATTTTCCTCAGGCTGCTCATTCTTTAATAATATCTCAATATTTTTGCAACTTATGAACCAGTGTTGATGACATCACCTGGGAGCTCATTAGAAATGCAGAATGTCAGGTCAAATCAGGACCACCTGGATCAGAATCTGTATTTTTTAAAAAATCCCCAGTGATTTTTGTGCACATTGTTTGAGAAGCATTGTTATCATATATTTCATAAGAAACTCTCCTCTCATCCTCCCCATCCATTGCCCCTTCATATATAAGTCTTGTTTGCCTTTTGAGGCAGTTTCTGGCTTCTAGAACCTTAATAGAGGTAGTAAACAATTTTTGTTTCAGTTTTTATTAGATGATCTTCACTTGGGTATGGACTGGAGGATGCTTTTATGCTATTAAAACTTGTCCTTTATCTTCAGTGTTACTTCAATTCCAAGGCTCAGTATAAGGTTAAGTAAAACATCCTGGCTGTGAAGCAAGAATAGTCTAGATGTTTAAAGTTATTTAATACATTTGGGCTTTTCATCCTTCAAGAATTATTTATATTTTTCTAGGCTTCATGCCTGTGATTTTCATTGCTTCAATCAGGTAAATGGTGATGTTTTCTTGCACCTCAATTGTAATAACTAACAGGCTAAACTTCTCAAACTTTATATTATAAGAAATAAAGCATTCACTAAATACCAACTGTGTATCAGAAATTCAGCTTAAAATTACAGTAAGTTCCCTACCTACGAACCTTCAAGTTATGAACTTTCAAAGATGCGAACGTGTGCTTCATCAAAGTCACACGTGAGTGAAATTGCAGCCCTCAGTCTCCTAGTGTTGATGAACCTTCAGCTCTACCATCTCCCACCTCTTCTCCCTCCTCCAGTCAGTAACTCTTCTTGCCTGTTCACTTGATGCCAGCCCCTGTATGCCAGCTGTTGTACTGTACTAGTGTACTTTTCAAGGTACTGTACTGTAAGATTAAAATGTTTTCTTTATTTCTTGTGTTTTTTTATGTATTATTTGTGTGAAAAGTATTATAAACCTATTATAGTACAGTACTATATAGCCGATTGTGTTAGTTGGGTACCTAGACTAACTTTGTTGGACTTACGAATGCACTGTTGGAATGGAAATCATTTGTATGTAGGGGAGTATTGTATACTCATACTCAAGTAGATTTCTTTATTTCCATTTTACAGGTGAAGAAAATTATATGGGTTTTGGGGGATTGGATGATTTCCTCAAGGTCACTTTTGATATCATGTATTTGACTTCAAAATTTATGATCTACCTAGTATATTCATACATCCAATGAATACCAGTTTATTGAACACTTCATATTTTCCTGTTCTAGGATTACAGATTAACAGTAAGTAAAACACACGGAGGCTTTGCCCTCAAAAGCCTGCATTATACTAGGAGAGCTGAAAAATTTTAAAAGCATTTAGTGAATTAGTTAATGGTGTCTATGAAAAACACTTTGAAGGAGAGTTTCAGTAAATAATGAAAGTGTGCTACGTGGGAACCTAAATTAGTTTGAGGAGCAGAGAAGACTTTCCTGAACTGTCTTCTGAGTTGAAATCTGAAAAATGGGTAGTAATTAACCAGGCCATATGGCCAAGTATGTAGAGGAAGAGGGCTATCTTAGAAAGATGAACTTTTGTATGACCCTGGGACAGAAAGAGGTATTGGTCTACCACCACACTAGAAAGACAGTTTTAAATTCTGGGATTTCATTCAAAGTTTGTGGAATAAAATTCCAGCTTTGCCACTTGTAGGCTTTGAGATTTCTCTGATTACTAGATTTATTAAAAAGGGGATAAAAAACATAATAATAATGGCAAAACAATAACAACAATCACAACCACAAATCAGCAATGATAATATCTACTACAAAGTGCCTGGCACATAACAGATACTCTAGAGATATTCATTGAATAAATGAATTATTATCATGAGGATCAAATAAGATAGTAAATGAGGCAAAACCATAATCATTCATTTATCCCTTCATTTATTTGTTCTTAATTCAACAAGCATTTATTGAGTTCTTTTTGTGGGCCCACTAATAAAACGTTGAACAAAAAAATCTTTATTATATAGATGATAGCTATTTTTGCTATTATATGTTATGATATTAATAAGGCCTCCATAAATATTAATGAATCATAATTTCCAACAGTCACATGTTTTTTTAAAATGAGGTTACCATTTGGATAAAAATTTTAGTAATCACATATTTTGAAATATATGGCCTTAGTATTTCCTTCCGACTTAAGTTTTGGTAGTTATTAATCTTGGTTTCCTGTAACCTAGACTTTCCCAACTGGATGAAAAGCTGCCTATACTGATGGACAATACAGCTTTGTTATGGGAGACTGCCATTCAGATTGTTTCCTGCTGAGAAGAGCAGCCAATTGGCCTCTTATCTCAGGACACCATATTCTTTACTACATGGCTTCACCAATAAGGTAATAGCCAGTTGGACCAGCAACGGATAATTGACTCAACATCATCTGTTGATTTGTGAAAGGGACTAGGGTGAAAGCTAGACAGGGCACTCTAGATTGGATGGCAACTACTAAAACCAAATAAAGCCTCTCTTTTGGAATATGAATGCAGGAGTTACAGAGAATGAGTAGCTGGTCAGTGTGAGTGGAAATAATGGAAATGGAGAGAGAAGCTAAGTCATAATAGGTATAAATTAGAATGAGAGAAGAACATCAATGTTTGAGGAACAAATTACTATTGTTCTAATGAAGCCCTAGAGATGATATTGATAATTCTAGCCATCTAGTTCTCAAATTATATTCCAATCTTAAAGAAGCTTAGTTATTTTGTAGTTCTATATTTCCGCATAAGAACTATGTGGTAATACTGGATTTTTGAGTTCTCCACATAACTTTAAATAAATGTCAATTCATTAAGCTAAACCCTAAGTAGTAAACTATGCCAGATTCAAGTTTCTAAATCAGGAGCCCGTGTCGCTACTCCTACTTTTTCAGAAAATGCCAGAAGGTGCTTCAGAACAATTTATTTCAGTAGTGGTTTCTAATTTTTTCTCAACTATCATCAGAAAAATTTATGACTGTTATAAATTATCAAGAGAGAAGTTATTGTTCTAATTCATGAACATGCGGTACTAACTGACATTCTATTCTATGCCTTGTATACATGGAACATGTACACCAGACTGTTTTCAATCAGCAGTATTTCTATCTAACAGTTAAACTTGCTGACTTAAACTCTATTTTTCCTTGGATAATGGTTAATCACTATTGTAAATCACCAGCAATTACAACAGGTCTTCAGCAAAATATTAAACTTGTTTCTATGCATTTCAAATGAAAGATGTCCCATTTCCTTCCAAACACTAAAAAACAAACACAAAAAGAAAGAAAGAAAAAAAAACCACTGGACATGATTTACAGGTTTTTTAAATAATAATCTTCAAAGGTGTCTTCCCATTAAGGTAAAATATGAGGTGAGAAAGGAAGTAAGCTCTTGATATTATAGTTCCCATATGAAATATATTCTTTTTGGTAAAATAACAACTGAAAATATAATTTTCTATAATTGTATCATTTTTATTTAGGTAAATCAAAATCAATTAATTTACTTAGGTTAATATTTCCTATACCATTCAGTGCTTGGAGTATAAAAATAAACACAGGTGAATTTATCTGATATTTATTCACTTAGCAACAAAATGAGAATACGTCCAAGAACCTTTACCAGAAGATCAATAGTAAAGGTCTTTATTAACCCATTTTTGTCACATTTGCAATAGTGAAATAGAGCAATAATGGGGAAAAAAAAACATTGCTTATAACATTAATGAATTAATGCCCTGCTTTATTTATCTATTAATGATTCCATTTGAGCCATGAAAAATTCATGCAAAAATATGAATATGGACCATAGATAATTATTCTACAATTCCACATCCATTCTCCCATATCCTGTTCTCACTCCTTGTAGCATAATCCACAACCCACACGTGTATCTGGAGTAGTGTAAGCTGAAGTTTTCACATTCAGAGTTAAAAAGTTCTAAAGATCTTGGGGCATTAAGAGCTATGGCATCCCCATGTTGGCTGGGATAACCAACAAGAACGTTTAGGAGGAGGTGACACTTGAAATCTATCTTTAGCCAAACGTTGAAAGTGCTGGATGGCCAAGGAGGATGAACTTTGAAGAAGTATGGTAAAATCACAGAGGAAGAAAAATTCATGTTTCAAAGTCGAAATAAATTGGACAGGTAGTTAAAAAGACCATACAGTTTCAATTTAGAAAGATCCGATTATACCAGGACTCATTTGTAGTAAAGTTACTCTACTTAATCTCTTAGATTCTATTAATAATTTGCACAATTATTTCTTATTTCAGTAAGCGGGGAGCTGTCAGTTATAATATTTCACACCATTAATTATAAGATACCTCTTAATTTCAGAGATTTGAAATAGGTAAAAATATATAAACAAGAAATGATGAACTATCTAAATGAAAAAATCATAGTCTTTACATGTAGCCATAAAAATATTCAACTTTCTTTTCTTTTTTGTTATCTTTAAACAAGCAGTTTATTTGAGAGTTACCAAGATGCTAACTTGCATAAAGTATAATGGCTATCCAGGTAGTTATTCAAATAGTTTCTGCCAACAACTTAATTGGAGTTAGATATAACATAACTTTATCAAACAGCAGGCAAGAACAAAATGTTATCATTACTGTGTGTTTGGAAAATGATGAAAGCATAAAAGCTATCAGTTCAATTCACTTGTGTGATGCTTATATCATAGTATAAGAGGTCTTTTTGTACCTCTCCTGAATTTCAACAGTTCCATTCACTGAGCAGTACTACTTCAATGCGTGGCCAGAAAAATGACAGAAAGCCAGTTACATTTTTTTTTCTCAATTACTCCATTTCCCTCCATCCACTCAGAAAGTAACAACCTTGAGAGACTAAAATTTTACACTGTAAATGCAAATTTCCAATTAAAAGTTTCTCTCCCTATGACTCTGAAATGTTTTTCTCTATTTTCCCCATAAATTAATGAACCTGTGGGCTCAACTTTTACATAATAACTCCAAGGGTCTTAGCATATGTCATTTTGTCTGACTGTTTGGGGGAAAAAAGCAGTTTGATTATTTTTCTATCAAAATAAAAAGGCAAAACCATCATTATATTTCTGGAAATAACAGGGATTGCACAGGTCGTAACACAGCCTCAGAGAGTTAAATAGCCTTTAGGTAGTTATTATTTTGTTTGCTTTACATCATCCGCAAGTTCATTTTAAAGTGATATAGTAGATTAGGTTTTTTCTTTTCTCCTGTGGAAAATGACAAACATGCTTTTTCCAAATAGATACAAATGAAAAAATGTGTAGCTAATGGAATACTAACAGCTGATAAATTATAAATGGATGCACTCATTAATTAGTTTCTGTCCAGGATATGCATACAGCCATGTGGATAAATATGCATACTGAAACTAAGAAGTTATGGGAGACAATGCCATCTAGCACAAGAAATTCTGTTCTAGGAATTAAGAAATGCGGGTGAACTTCCAACTCGTTGATGATATGGCTATTTGACACTGAATCAGTTATAAAGGGATATTGAATATCTATCAGATGTTTGATCTACATAACATCGACTGAACAATGTATTCTCTTTTTCATTGAAACAGTTAAAGATTGGAAAAACCCTGTGTCACCGATACATGTCTCTAATTTGAGGTCAAATTTATAAAATATCCCATCATCAAAATATTTATTTATGCAATTTAAAATTTTGTCTTCTTTTTCTTTACAGATTACGAAACTTTATATGTGTCCCAAGATTTTAAATCAAATATGTGTATTTGATTTAGCCAACTTGTAAGGAAAATGCCAAATGCCACAATCTATATACCATTCCAGTTGAAGATATTTTTGTTAATTTTTAAAATAACAAGTGAAAGAGATTCATTATACCTATTTCCAGTCCATATATAACCCCTAAAATTATCTTTGGCCAGTGGTGTCACCCTTCTAGTCTATCAACTCTTTGAATAAACAGTTAAATACACTAACTTGACTTCCATGGATTTTCATTGTCCTAATGTGTCATAATATAAAAATGTTAATGAAGCATGAAGTTGCCAAATAACAAGTACAAGGATATACTAATTTGGATGTGTTTGGATGCATGCGATAAGAAACTCAACTCAAAGTGTCTCACATGGTGAAGAAAATCTATTACAGCACATTGCAGTTCTATCAAAGGAGGGTAGCTCCCAGGTGGGTGAATTTAGTGGCTCAAAAACTACATCAAGGATCCAAGTTTTTGCTGTTCTTATACTCTGCCATATTTCATGGATTAGCTTTATTTTCAAGGCAGCCCTCCCTGTGATTTCCACTGCAGTTCCATAGGAAGACCTGCAAATTCCATGAGAAGAAGAGGGATATTTTTATCAAGTGTCCAAATTATGAGAGGTAAGGGGAGGCAAGACATCTCTCCCAGAAGCCTCTGCATTCTTCTCTGTCTCTTTATTGACCAGACATGTTCCTGTGCTCATGCTTAAACTGATTACTGACAAGCAGGAGAATCACAGCTTCCTGGTGAGCACATGACCACGTGGAAGATGTTGGATGGCTGAACAAAATGGATACTGTGTAAGTAAGTAAGAAAGACGGGGCTGAAGATTTGCTGAGTGGGCACAACATTTAATAAGAGGCAGAGCAAGAAAACAGCGGATAAGTTTCAAGCAGGACAACTTGACAATTTGACTTTTAAAGGGTATATGTATTCCTCCAATATGTCTTGTGGACCAGAGTCAGGCGGCTCCTTACTGACTTGGCCATGATTCCAAAGTTCTATCAGCCCCACTATGCCTCGTTCTGTACTGCCCTATTTTATTCTATATTGCTTTAACTTATTATTTTAATTCCTTGAATATGTGTCTTACCTCACCAGATTGACCTTGAGCCCCCTGGGCTCGGGGCATTATCTCCCTTTCCTCTTCTTGTCTCTTTCCTGGCTCTCACTCTTACCCACCCCACCTTTGTCTAAACTTCTTACTGGTCAGTTGCTTATTTTGATACCTTAAGATTCTGATGGATATTAAAGTCCTGTATGCCCTTGTCAAAAGATGGGAGTAAATTCTTTCCTACATGTCTTCTCTGAGTTTAGCCAATGCCAAGTTCATTATAGGTTCTCAAAGAACTGCTTGTTGAAGAGTACATATATGAGAGAGGCCAGTTAATGGTGCCCATAGGACACAGAAATAAAAGAGGTTGCTTACTTACTTCTCCAGTAAGCTCAGATTTTAATGTTTTATGGTCTAAAAATTATCACGAAAATGTATCTTTATCTAAAGTAAAATGGACTCTTCACTAAAAATATACCATTCTGGTGCTTTACTTATCCTAGTTTACAATGGTCTCCATAGAATACCTGTTCCTGTCACCATTCAGTCTTTCTGTCAAAAAACTTACATTAAATATTGAAATAGAATAAGCAAGTCATCTGCATGATACAGCTGACAAGGGTTAAACTCCCTGGGCACTTAATCTGAGAAGCCAAAATATCTGTTCTTGATTTTTAGAAGGTAAGGAGTTTCGCTTATCCTGAATGTATTAATCAGCAAACAAATAATAAAGAATGTTGATGCCAGGATAATTGTGAATTATGAAAAACTGATCTTTTCTTATAAGGGAAGGACTATACTTGGCTAGAGAAACAAGCATTTCTCATAAAGTTACCTAGCAGCAGTGTCCAATCCAGTAATATACGTGACTCAGGTTTGCTGTCAAACAGTGTAACTTGAAGCTATTGGTCAGCAGCATCCTTGTTGGCAGATATTGTCATCTTGGTGTTTGAACACCAAGGGCAATGACACTTCTTAGAGGCAACTCTATTCCTCTGCTCCATCTCTCAGAACCTGCTCATCCTCAGGTCTTTCACATCAGTATGTGTCTTGGTGATCCTTTCGAATAATACCAGGATGTAGAGATTGAGGGCAAGATAGCTCGAGTTAACATTTTCATGTAAATGGAATTGATAAATGAACCGTACTGGCTGGCAGACTATACCTTCAGCTTGGGTGCCTCAGTCTTCCTAGTGGGACTCTTGAATTTAAAAATGAGCAACGTTATTTATGCGTTATGTTTCTCTAACTTGATTCTCTCCTTGTCTTACTCCCCAATTCTGACACAGTGACAGGATAGAAAAAAAAAAAAAAACACTCAGAAAATTTAACTTCTGTATCTTGGATCTACAAGAAATCCAAGGTTAGAAATTTTTAAGAATTGATTTAAGATCTATAAGTTTCCCTTGAACAAGAGGTAATGGTTTCTGAATAAATGTTTTTATAGAATGTCTTTTTCTTTGTATAGTTTACCGATATAATATCCTTGTTCTCAATATAATATCTTTGCTCTCGAAAGGGAACAATAGATTGACTATAGGTAAATTATACAACTGACATTCTCCAAAGGCTAAAATTCCAGAAAATATTTTATACCAGTTTATGGATGGGGAATCAAAACTATTGCTCAGATTTAAGCTTGACTAAATTTACTACAAGAAACAGATATTGATTCATCCAGTGTTAATATTTAAGACTATTTTATCATAGTTTATTAAGTCATGGGTCAACCCAATCCAAAACAATATTAGGAAAAGAATGTTCTTATGTTAATGACTACTCAAATAATTTGAAATCTTATAAGATTTTTAAGTATTATCTTAAAATAAAAATATTTGAATGATTAATTTTTAATTGAAAAATTTATACAAGTATAGGGGTATTCTTATAAGAACTTTAGTTCTGTAAAATAAATTATGGTAATAATTTATTTAATTTTGTATAAAAGGCAAAGTAATCCATATCTCACTGAGCTCTATAAGGATAAATTGAATAGTGTATGGGAAACACTTAAATGTTGCCTAAAACACAGTTCATGTTCAAAAAATTGTTCAGAAATATGTTTCTGCTTACTCCTCTGTGGTAGGCAGAATAATGGGCCCTATAGAATTCCACAGCCTAATTCCTGGAACCTATGAAAGTCACTTTATATGGCAAAAAGTACTTTGCAGATGTGATTAAGTTAGGTTCTTGTGATAAAGAGATTATCCTGGATTATCTGGGTGAGCCCAGTGTCACAGGGGTCCTTTTAAGAGGGAGGCAGGAGGGTCAGTGTCAGAAAGAAGTCAACGTGATGACAAAGCAAAGGAAAACAGAGCCAGAGAGAAAAGACACTCTGCCACTGGTTTTATAGACAGAGTGAAGCAGCCATGAGCCAAAGGATGCAGGCAGCCTGTAGAAACTGAAAAAGGCAAGAAAACAACTTCTCTTTGAAACATCCTTGCTGGCACCTTGATTTTAGCCCTGTAAGACCCAATTTTGGATTTATGATCTCCAGAACTATAAGAAATAAATCTGTGCTGCTTTCAGCTACTAAATTGTGACAATTTGTTACAACAGCATTAGGAAACTAATATACTTCTTTCTGTCAATATTCTAAAATTTCTATGACAGCTTTTCAATTCTTCAGTATTAAGTGTCTCTCTGCCTGTGAGTCCATTTTCACAAGCTTTGTCAGAAAATAGAAAAAGCTTTCTTCCATGGCTTTTTCAATGCAAAAAAGAGAAAGTGGGAGAGGGAAGAAAGGGAGGAAAAAAGAAGGAAAGAAGAAAAGAAGGAACAAGAAAGTATAGAAGGGAAGGACAGAGTGAGAGCTATAATAAAAAGGTAACATGAGCTGATTAGATGTTTCAGGGAAGAAAAGGCAAACTTTATTGCTACTCATAAGAAAGATGAATTTCTGTACAAAGAGCTACTTCAATGTCAAGTATAATCAAGTCTTAACTTGTATAAGTGATATCCAGCATTGCTTTAAGAAAAGAATGAGAAAAATAAAACGCCTGTGATCTTGTTCTTCTGAGAAGAAGGCTGATGACAAGAATGACTCAGTCATTTCCAAAAAGTTACAGGCATTCTTCTAGAAAGGAGGTGGAGCCCCTACCATTGTTTTCCAGAGGAACTCTACCTGGGTCAAATGTCAGGGATTCTTATATTTTTGTTCTGGGAGGAATAATCCCTCTCAGTCTCAAGATGGGAACTGAGGGAGATTTAGGAAATCCTACCAGAAATAAAGTACAGTAAGTCCCCAACATACAAACCTTCATGTTGCGAACTTTTAAAGATGCAAACATGCATTCGCGTGTCCAACCATGTAAGTTAGTTCACGTGTCTAGCATATGTTGTCACGTGCGTGCATCCTCTACAAGCAGTTCTGCTTTTGTGTACTTTACTGTACAGTACTGTATACAGTGCAGTAGTACAGTATTTTTATTTCAAGCCCACGGTGTCCGGAAGCAAACATAAATGCAGTGATGATGTAGCTGGGACAGTACTACCCAGACATCACTGGATGTTTTTAGGAGGGTAGATAGAATTGAATCCAGCAAGGAACCAGAACCTGTGCCATCAGCGTCAGGCGTGAGTGAAATTGCAGCCCTCTGTCTCCTACTGCTGACAATCGTTCAGCTCTACCATCTCCCACCTCCTCTCCCTCCTCCAGTCAGTAACTCTTCTTGCCTGTTCACTCGATGCCAGCCTCTGTATGCCAGTTGTTGTACTGTACTGCTGTACTTTTCAAGGTACTGTACAGTAAGATAAAAAAAGTTTCCTTTATTTTTTGTGTTTGTTTTTAATGTATTATTTGTGTGAAAAGTATCATAAACCTATTACACTATAGTACTATATAGCCGATTGTGTTAGTTGGGTACCTAGGCTAACTTTGTTGGACTTACGAACAAATTGGACTTAGGAATGTGCTCTCGGAATGGAACTTGTCGTATGTAGGGGACTTACTGTACTTTAAATGATCAAAGAGCAACCGATGGCTCACTGTTTCCTTGGTTCACCAGCCTGGGGCCAGGAGAACTAGCTCTGCATTTTCTCCACCATAAGGCAACCTTCAGAGACTTCTCTGGCATGCAGAAATCAGACTACTTAGAATCTAAATGAGTTGTAGCCTACACACTTCCCTTCCTCAAGAAAAAGTCATG